CAAGGCATCTGAAGCCTACACCACTTCAGACAAATGGTTATCTAATCTCTTCTTGAAAACTTCCAATGTTGGAGAATTTACAACTTCTGGAGGCAAATTTTTCCATTGATTAATTGTTCTAACTATCAGGAAATTTCTCCTTAGTTCTAGGTTGCTTTTCTCCTTGATTAGTTTCCATCTGTTGCTTCTTGTCCAGCCTTCAGATGCCTTGGAGAATAGGTTGACTCTTCTTCTTTGTGGCAACCCCTTTGTGACAACCTCTTGTCAAGGTTGCTTCATTCGCTGAGCTTCTTCCCAATGTCAGTTCAATTATGACTTGGTCCCTTGGCTACTAATAAGTTTGGATGTTCATATCTATCATTTTCCAGGGCTTTTTTGTCCATCTGCCAGCAAAGATGACACACCCCTCAGTTAAACCCCAGGAGCACATATGCATATCCAATAATTTATTAACTCCCATTTTACAGTGGCAATGATTTGAAGGCACTATCTATTAAAACTCTCAGCTGCTTCACTCTTTCTGTTTTTTTTTAAAAATCGCCATCCATTACCAACTGGATTTTTTTTCCGGCGTGCTCCATTATGTTCAGTACAAGTTCATATTACTGACTTTGGAATATGCGTGATTTTGCCCCTATGTGAATTTAAGGCCCTTTCCCCCCCACTTTTCTGTTTAAATGCAGATCAGATCTAAATCTTATTGAAACATCACGATCTGCAGCAGCATAATTTATGCCTCCTCCCCCCCCCCCTTCTTCCAGCCTCGCAGGCGGAAAAAGGAAATTTATGCATAGATCCTTGGTTTGTTATTAACTGCAGAAAGTCTGGTTCAATAAAATTTTCAGACTGTCTGTGTGTGTGTGTCTGTGTGTTTGTGTTACAATATTAGCTTTTATTCATTCCTAAGGATTCTCTCTACTTTCAGCACACATCACTGCTTAGTTCTCGTTTTGGAAAGAGACAAAAAAAAATAATACTAGGTTTTCCTTCAAAGTGTGGACAGTCGCAAAAGATTATTGTACAGCCAACGCCGAATCAAGCTTTGACTAGCATCACTAAGCCAACTCATTAATTCCCATAAATGTAATTAACCACCCTGGGGAATTTCAAGAACAGGTTTTTCCCCCACCCCTCCAACTACCCCCCTTTGGAGGGCAAAACACAAAAGCTATTTTAAATTTAGTAAGGTAAAGATTCTCCTTGCACATATGTGCTAGTCGTTCCCGAATCTAGGGGGTGTTGTTCATCTCAGTTTCAAAGCTGAAGAGCCAGCGCTGTCTGAAGACGTCTCCATGGTCATGTGGCCGGCATGACTCAACNTCTTCCTTGATGCTTACCCTGACTCCCACGCCGCCTCCTCCTCTTCCTCCTCCTTGGATTTGGCTTCTGGAGGGGCCGGTGGTCGACAGGCCACAATACACAGTCACAACCACAAACAAATTAAACTATAGTGTGAACCCAGGTTAACCAGATATAATATCCTGCCTGAGCACAATTTATGTATTGTTGCTTATCGTCAATAAATGTACATTATATTTATCCACAAAAGTTGAATCTCCATTAGAATGGAAAGTATTGCCAGTTGTTCACACTTACTAGCAACCAGGGTAGACGGAAGCTGATTTCACACAACACAGAAATGCCATGTGAAAAAAGATGGTTGGCTAGTTTGAGGAACACACTGTTGTGTGAATGAAATCAATCAGTTGTTTTAAGGAAATTATGGAAGAGGAAAACAAGGCACAGCATGGTTTGATGAGAGCTCAGCTAGGAAGGTTCCAAGGGATCTCACCTCTTGTTAGAAACAATGGGGATCCTCCAGCCCTTGATCTGATTTAACTCCGTGTCAGAGACTTCAATCTGGAGTGGGAGGCGGGGAACCCACACAGTCAGTTCCAAGGGGCTGTTCAGATGTTGGTATGTAAAATGGACCACTGCGTTCACTTTGCCTTTCATTTCCTTCCCGTTGACAAATACATAGTCACATCTTTCCGACACCTGAAACAAGAAAGAGAGAAAAGAGAGAACAATTTAAAAGAAAAGAATAATGGGATAACAGAAGAAGAGAGTTGGAAGGGACCTTGGAGTTCTTCTTCTCCAACCTCCTGCTCAAAGAAGAGACCCTAAACTACTCCAGACGAACGGTTGTCCAATCTCTTCCAAAAAACCTTCAGTGATGGAGCACCCACAACTTCTGGAGCCAAGTCATTCCACTCACAACTTCTGAAATGAAGCTATTCCACTGATTAATTGTTCTATCACTAAGTTTCCCCTTAGTTCTAGGTTGGTTCTCTCCTTGATTAGTTTCTTTCGGTTCACCGACAAACGGGCAACCGACAAAAGCGCGCCCGCCGAAACCGCGGTGACAAAACCGCGAGTTCTAAACCGCGCCGACGAATGAGTACTGAAGCACAATGACAACAGCGTGCCGACAGAAGAGCGCTCTAACCCTAAACCTAACCCTAACCCTAAACCTAACCCTAAACCTGACCCTGACCCTAACCCTTACCTTAACTTAAATCACGCTTCTGTCGGCGCGCTGTTGTTGGCGCGCTATTGTTGGCGCATTGATGATGTCGCGGTTTTAGCACCACAGTTTTGTCGGCACGCTTTTGTCTTGCGTGTATTTGTCGGGTCACGGTTTCTTTCCATTGCTTCTTGATGAATTGATTCTATTTTATTTTTCTTTATGTACACTGGGAGCCTATGCACCAAAGACAAATTCCTTGTGTGTCTAATCACACTTGGCCAATAAAGAATTCTATTCTATTCTATTCTATTCTATTCTATTCTATTCTATTCTATTCTATTCTAT